CTAGCAAGATTATGTCCTTTAAAAGTATGATCCAACCACAATTAAGCACTTTGAAGTCCCATTGATTCCAGGTTTATTATACTTCATTCTCATTCACATTTACCTGTGTGTAAGCCCCACTGAAAATAAATAAATAAATAAATAAAAATTACTGAATACTAGCAAGATTATGTCCTTTAAAAGTATGATCCAACCACAATTAAGCACTTTGAAGTCCCATTGATTCCAGGTTTATTATACTTCATTCTCATTCACATTTACCTGTGTGTAAGCCCCACTGAATTCAGTAGAACATGCAGGTTTCTGCATGATCAAATCAATAGGATTCCAGGATGCTTAACGTTGACTGAATTGTGTGCTGTATTTTTAAGGCAGATACATTTTCTCCCCTCCCCTTGTGAACAGTTTGCATAATTGTCTTTATTTTATAATCACTTAATTCTTTTCAAACACATTATAGTCCAGTATTGTTTTATACTGTGTATTTTAAAAACTGGTCAAATAAGTACAAGATTTGAAGTACATCTCTCATTCATATATATACACATGCACACGAATACCATGATAAATAATATCCATTGAGTTATTTTGGAGAATTTACTGCCTACTGAAAGCTTCTTTATTATCCCTCGTTCTGTCAGTCAGTATTGATTAAAGCTTAAGTATGCAAATATTCTAATTTCCTGAAATTCCAGTAAGTAATTATCATGCTTATGAAGGCACACTCTTTGTGCAGCCAAAATCCAAGCATTTCTCTAGGGGGAGGGGGACAAAAAATAGGCAATCAGTTGATCTAGAGTTAAACCTGTCAAATATTTAATTGTTATGAATGAGTTGATTAGTATTTAAAATGTGATGCCCCTCAATACCGATTTCCCCCCCAAAAGAACTTGATAAAAAGACAACAGCATATAACAATCTGTAATATGCCTCTTAATTTGTGTTTTCCTTCTGAAGGCAACTGATCGAGAGGGTGACCCTATAACATACATAATCCAGAATGGAGATCCCCAGCAAGTATTTAACCTTTCTCGAACGTAAGTCCCTTATGACTCATAATGCAGTCTTATAATAACTCTTATTTACTTGATATCTGGTTATTTCCAGTTAGGTACAGGATTGCAGCCTGAGTTTCTGACTTCACAATAAATATGCAGATTTTGTGCAAACAGCAATGTTTGTAATCAGAGGTGTTCAGCTGTTTGAAGTTGAATTCTCACGCACTAATAAGAGCTCTGTGAATGGTGCTGAAGTTTGAAATTGTGCACGGGAGACTATATATTTGTTTTAAATGTTTGACTAGGTAAAACCTACTGAGATGGAAACTTCAATTATAAAAGTGACCTGGGATTAATTAGAAGCCTTTAGACCTGCCAGGTTTCTGCTAATGACAGTGACATTAGTTTTGGGTGTTTTTAAAAATTCTATTCCTTGTCTTGAAAATGAAATGTGCTTTAATGAAAAGGAAGACCTTTTGGGACCATTGTTTGAAATCAGTGCCAGACATTCCAGGCGTTACCAACTGAGAAAGCTTTTAGCTTTCTTCCTAAATTGATACCACCTTAATTAGTGTAAAGAAAAGCCATGAAACACTGAAAGCATATGTACCTGAGATGGTGTAAACCTTCTTTCCTTTAAGAACCTGTCATTTGCAAAGCGGTTACGCCTTTGAATATTAATTATAAGAAAGGGAAACCAGGGATACATTGAAGGGACTTATTTTAGTAATTATGAAAAAGGGTAAGTAGAGAGTTATCATTATGTTCTCAAAGCTTAAAGATTTGTGCTTAGCACAACAAAAAGAAAGGCATTTGTACTTGCTGTGAATGTTGATGTAAGCAGAATAGGTACTAAAAACTAAGTATGCTGTGGTAACCTAATAGCTTTTCCAAAACGGTAGTTTTACCACAGCAGATATCTATTCTAAACCCACTTTCTGTCTATTGCTACATAATTTTCTGTGTCCTAGGGTAATTGTTATCGGGGGGGGGGGAGCAGTTGATGTGGAAACCCTTGCACAAAGTAGCTAGGCAACACTTGCTTGCAGATTTATATTTAGGTGTGTACTCTTTGTGATGTGGTTTCAGTTTTGTGGGTGGAAGACACTGCTGTTGGTAGGAGCTGCCACATGGTTTCTTATCAGTGGCCCAGACTCTTGGGGTTCCTGGAATGGCATAGGAAGAACATAGGATGCATCCCATAAGCTCTTCCATGGTAGTTACACCAGAGAAATGCCACACAAAATCATTTAACACCTGGATCCCTAGGCTTAAACAAAAGGTCTGTTAGAAAATATGTGCCACAGTTTACCAAACAATCTTTTTCTATTTTTGCTGTTTATAAAAATACTGTTGTAAGAATTGACCACAAAGACAGTAGCTATGAATAGGTTGCGATCAATCAACCTGTTCTTTTGTTCTTGCTGTGTAAATCTGCACACATATGTCCTCAGCTTCATGAAGGGAAAACATATATTTATTTTGCACACAGACAGGTGTTTTGTTCAAAGTACATTTTGCACAAATGTTATTTATTTTATTTATTTAGATTTATACCTCACCCATTTAGTGAACATGGCACTACTCTGAGCACCTTACAAAATATTATTAAAACCATATAACACATATGAAAATAAAANCCCCCCCCCCCCCCCATTAAATCACCCATCTGAGAAATAAGTTCGCAGACAGCAGGCCAACATAATTTTACAAAAGGGTGGTACTTGGGAAGGCCTGGGTAAAAAGCCAGGTTTAAATTTGCTTGTGGAAGTTCAGGAGGGTGGGGGCCAGTCACACCTCCACAGGAAGAGAGTTCCAGAGTGGAGTGGCCACTACTGAAAAGGCCCAGTTTCTGGTTGATGTCTTCCAGGCCTCTTCTGGAGTGGCCACCTGCAACATTAAAGACTGGGAGGTGTGAGTGGGATGGGAAGATGACTTGAGGGAGAGGCACTCTGACAGGTAGCAAGGTCCTAACCATAAAGAGCTTTATAAGTTGGCATCAATACCTTGAATTTGGCCTGGAAGCATACTGTCACCCAGTGCAGGCGAGCCAGGAGAGGTGAAATATGGTCAAACTTAAGTGCATCAGTGACCAGCCTGACCACTGCATTTTGCACTTGCTGCAGCTTCCAAACCACCTTCAAGGGCAGGCCCACATAGATAGCATTGCAATAGTCAGTCAATCCTCAAGGTTACCAACACATTAACCAATGTTATTAGGGATCTCCTGTCAAGAAGGAGATGGAGGTATTCAGTCTGCCTCAGGTGGCAAAAGGCAGATTTGGCCACAGCCAGGATCTGTTTCTCCACTGAGAGGGCTTGGTCCAGAAGCATACCCAGATTCCACACCTGATCCTTCAAGGGGAGTGTGAGCCCATCAAGCTCAGGTAACAGGCCCACTACCTGATCAGGATGCCCTCCCAAGAACAGGATCTCCGTCTTGTCAGGATTCAAGTCACAGGATCTCTGTCTTGTCAGGATTCAATTCCAGCCTATTTGCCCTTGTCCATTCCATAACCACAGCCCGGCAATGTTCTAGGGTCTGTACAACTTCCTCTGCTGAAGAAGAAAAGAAGAGATAGAGTTGTGTATCACCAGTGTACTGATGACAGTGAACTCTGAATCTCCGAATCACCTCTCCCAGTGGCCTCATGTAGATGTTAAACAGCAAGGGAGAGATGATATACCCCTGTGGAACACCACATTGTAGTGTCCATGGGAATGAAACAGCTTCCCCAAGCTGAACTATCAGCCATCGAGGAAGGAATGGAGCCAGCATAATGTTAGACCTCCAATCCCCAATCTCAATAACTGATCCTGTGGGATCAAAGACTCACCATTGGCACTAAGCAACTTGCAATGGGGTCAGGTGATCAAAGAGTAGACAGAAACACGTCGTTGCCTCCAAAAGCAAGGAGAGAAAATTCTTAGCTCTTCCTGACCTCTGTATGTGACATGTTGTCTTCCACTGAAGCAAAGGAATACCTTGTGAAAGACAAAGACAGAGCTACCTCTGAGAATTTAAATTCATCATATTCTGGGGAAGAGTATGCTTCACCTCCAGAATCTTCCTTTATACTGGCAACCTTGCCAGACTCATTTTGGTAACACTAATCCACCATCCCAATCAGACTGTATTCAGGTTTGTGATTAAGAATGGCAAAAGTTCTTCAATTAGAAGTACCGAGGCTACCACCTCCCAAGATCTGATCCAAGTTTTTTTTTAAAGTACAGAGAAATGTAGCTATGCAGGTTCAGATAACTTTGTTGTCTTCTCCATTGGGTTTAATAAATGAGTCTTGACAGAAACCTTAAACTCTTCCACCTTAAACTTCAAGACGAGTGGAAAACTTATATAAAGAACATGAGAAGGAAGCAGGTTTCCTCCTAAAGCATCCACAATCTAATCTGGTCATTGTGAAAGCATCCCAAACAAGATGAAGGGGGTGCAACAATACAACTCCTATTACAAAAGAGAATTTCAAGATGGATGCAGTTGGTAGGAGGATTTACTCAACATCAGCCCAAGGAATTAAAATAGTTTATTATCAATCAGCTATGGCTGCTTATTATTTGTTCCTTTGGGGGGGAAATCCTACCTCTGATGGAAGACTTATTAGATAATAAGAGAACTTTCACCTGCACTTTCCAGCAAGACTCCCTTTCTCTGGTTACACTTCAAATGTTCTCTGCACATTGTACAGTGGATTGTGCAGCTAGCATCTTATAACTCAACAAAAATGAACAGTTAAAGTCAACATACCCTCTAATTTTCGGTCTTGCTGGGCAGGGCTCTGGCTCTCTCATGCACGACTACACCCCTGTGTGCATGTGTGACTCCACACACACCCCTGCATGTGCAGGGTTCCATCGCAACTGGAACCAAAGGTGTTGAACACAATTGCTGCACAGAACTGGAAGAAAGATGCATGGATGGAGGTTGGGTTGTGTGCACGCATGCACACACAGCTTAGATGAAACCTTGGTTAAAGTTAACAGCATGGAGAATTCACCTACAATAAAGAAAATTCTTGTGCCAAGAAAATCATCAACAAGAAAAATGTACTCTTACAAATAAATGGGGGGAAATTATCCCATTTGCTAAGTTGATAGGGCAAGAACACCAGGCCCCAAAATTATACTGTATATTGTCCTTCATTTTCTATTACAGTCAACCCTCGACTTACAAATGGCCCTAGTTACAAACATTTCGACTTACAAACTGCTCTGATAGAAAAATATTGACTCGACTTGCAAGCTTAGATTTGAGTTACGAACCGAAAAAACGGTGCGGGAGGTGGGGAAAGCGCAAAATTTGAACTTTCAGTTCACCCTTGGCCATTGAAGAGGGTGCCTGTCTGCTTCCTCGCTCTTCCCAGCGTTTTGAGAGTGGATTTGGAGACAGTCTTCAGACTGCCTGATATTGCCTGGTACAGCGCTGTACGGACTGCCTGGTATTGCCTGGTATTGCCTGGTACAGCGCTGCACAGACTATATTTTTCATTTTTGGATTTTTAAAAGGTGTTCCCTCCCTCCTTTGCTGCCCCCTTTTCCCCCAAAAGGTGCTTGTATTGGCTTGTCTTGATTGAAAAGGTGTTTTCAAGGTGATCTGTTGTCTGAAAGGTGCTTGGTTTTTCCCAGAAGGTGCTTGTCTTGGCTGAAAAGGTGCTTTTCAAGGTGTTCTGTTGAAAAGGTGTCTGTTCCCTCTTTCCCTTCCTCTTTTCTTTCCTTTTTTTAACCCAAGTCATCTTAGGTTATCTTAGGTTAAAAGGAGAAAAGAAGAAAAATTCTGCCCCTAGTGGTAGGAACGGATTAACTGGCTTTGCATTAGTTCCTATGGGAACTAATGATTCGAGTTACAAACTGTCCCTCGACCTAAGTACCAAAAACAGCCGGAACATATTAATTGGTTTTCAGTGCATTCCTATGGGAAATGCTGATTTGACTTACGAGCTTTTCGACTTACAAACTTCCTTCCGGAATGGATTAAGTTTGTAAGTCAAGGGTTGACTGTACATCTAAAAGAAAAAGGATAGAGCCATTCTTCTTTAAAGGTATATCTGGAAGCTATAAAGGCTAGCCAAGAACAACGTTCTCAAGCCTCACAATAGTTCAAGAACCCTACAGTAAAAAGATTTTTTTAAAAAACCTCATACCCTGACATCAGAACACCATTGCCCCTATGGTCACTTTCCTTGGTGTTGCATCAGCTCATGAAACCACCACTTGAGCCCATGACTACCTCAGATTTATGACTTCTAGTGTATAAGACTATTTTTTTGCAATTACATCAGCAAGAAGGGCAAGCAAATTGAATGCCTTGTGCCAGGTTACTTAAATGTAATTGTAGTTCTTCGAGTGGTCATACAACATCCCCCATGGCTGCCCTGGTATTGTTTAAAATCAGCAGTGCAATTTCATAAAGATAATGTTATGCCGTTTTCAGACATTTCCTTTCTACCTAAGAGTGTAACAGATTTTCATTTTAGTCAACCTTTGGTATTGCCAATATTTTTTCCATCAACATCCACTGATTTGGAAAGATCCTTGCATGCATTAGATGAACATAGAGCTTTAGCCTTCTATCTCTCCAGAACAAAGAGATTTCACAAAATGGCATTTTTTTAATTTGTTACATTACAAAAAGTGTAGCCACATTTCCTCCAAACAGTTAGTGAATACAATGGAACCTCGAATTATGAATGTCCCTACTTGAGAACGATTCGAGTTACGAATGGCTCCATTCGCAAAAAGTTGCTTCAACTTGCGAACGGAGTCTCGACTTATGAACAACAACAACAACAAGAAAGAAAAGAAAAGAAACTTTCCTGCCCCTTTTTTGACCTAAGTTCATCTTAGGTCAAAAGAAGAAAAAATAAAATAAAAATTCACCCCCTAGTGATGGAGTACGGATTAACCAGCTTTGCATTAGCTCCTATGGGAATTAATGCCTCTACCTATGAACAGCGCCTCAACATACAAATGAAAAACAGCCTGAACGGATTAAATGGTTTTCAATGCATTCCTATGGAAAAGTTTGCCTCGACTTACAAACTTTATGACGTACGAACGCCGTTCCAATACATATTAAGTTTGTAAGTCGAGGTACCACTGTATCATTACTCAACGTTATGAACTGTCAAATAAACTTCTGGCTAATTCTTTAAAAGACACCAGAATAGTTGCTGCTTCAATAGCTTTCCTGAGGGGATTTCAGTTGAAAGAAATATCCAGAACAGCAACTTGGTCCAGGCCCATAACATTTTTAAAACATTACAAACTAGACATCAGGGTGAAGCTTGATGCATCCTTTAGCCATGCTGTATCATCATCTGTTTTGGCATCACATCCCACCATCCACTAAGTGAGCTTGTCAATCATCCATTTGTGTGAACCATAGAATCCACAAAGAAGTGTGGGTTACTTACGTATAATTGCATTTTTTTCAGGTGGTCATTTGTGATTTCACACAATTCATACAACCTCCCCTATGCCTGCCACATTGTTGTTTAAAATCAGCAGTGGACAAAGGAACTACATATTAACTGTTAGGGGTGGTGCATGCGCAATAAGTGAGAGGGTGGGGCTAAAGGTTTATTTCCAGGCTCTGGAAGATTCTGAGGATGTCTGTGCAGGCATGATAGCTTTCCTGACTATCTCCCTCTGTGTGTGCACACATGCACATGCACACACATACATACTTCACTTCTTAGAGAAAAAGGAAACCAGAGACATCTTATGTAAATGACAGAGACCAGCAGGTGTGGGAAGCTCTTTTTCTCACTGTCACCCAGGGGCAGTAGCAGACCTACAATTTTATGGCCCTTGAAGTCTGAACTGCTATGGGGGCCCTTCTCAACCAGCACCAAGCACCATTTGACTATGTTATGCATAGTGAAAAAAATGGTTATCTTCTTCAATGGTGTTGTTCCAGGACAGATCACCACACATTTTTCATAAACGTGGACTAAAGCCACTTCTGTAGCCCTTCTGGGTTTAGAGGCCTTGAAATTTAAGCTTTATTAGTTTCATAGTAGATTTGTCTCTGCCTAGAGGGCAGGAATCTTATGGGCCTTTGAAATTCTGTAATGCAGTGTATGTGTTGAGACAACATAAATCACCAGGGACAAGGAACTTAGCAAGGATTCTTGCCATATGAATTGATCAGCATCAGTTCTCAAAATGGAGTCCAATTTCCCAAACATTATTTTGTACGTACTATACTGTGACAAAATAAAATAACCCAAGAGAGAAAGGATTGTTAGCCAATGCCTGGTGTGGATCACAAGAGCTAACATTGGTTCTCTAGGATAAAGTAAATGGGCAGGCAAAGTTGCAATATCATTTATTTTACCTATTCTCTTTGTGTTATTCCCTCCCTCCATCTTCAATATAAGTTGGGTTTTTCCCCACTTTGTGTTACAGTAGCAGCAGAAAAGGTACTTCCTCTAATCTCCTTGGCAGTCATAGTTTTTATTTACCTGGAATGCCTCAGATATTTTGCTCCAGGGTATGGTGGGTAAAAGATCTGCCCTTAGCTCATATTTGCTCTGTTTGCTTTCCTGCAATTGCCTGTGGCAATGCTAGGTACAGAATATTGTGAATAAATAAAATGTTAATGCTGCAAGGTAGACGCCGAAATAAGTTTCCTTGGCTGTCATCCCTGAAAGAGTTGTCAATTATAGGTCTTATGGCATGAAAAAAATAAGTTATTCATATGGGGAACATTTTGTATTCAAGATGTATTGTACTGTCTAAATAGAATATCATTAGATTATGTCATCTAGCTAGATGTACTCAAATGGGAGGGGTTACTACATGGCCTGCCTGGCACTAGGACATCCCTGGGTCAGAACATTGCTTAGATAGAGATTAGGGCATATTGACATCCCAGACCTGTGGGAAAGCTAGAGTCCTATGATAGATTGTTTTGACTATGCATAACATCAAGAGATATATAAACAGAGATTTCTGCATTGAATCGTTGCTTGGAGTGGGTGAGAATTATGAAATGTCATGTGACATAATAGTTTATGCCATTTCAGTTTTCTTTTTACAATTAATATGTATTGAATAGAGATTTTTAAGTGACTTGCATGAGAGTTCATTGATTTTATACTTTTTTCTAAGAAAATAACTGTTTTTACTAAGAAAAGAGTCTTAATATTGTATCTTTTGAATTACTAAACTTAAATTCTATGCTATTTGAATAGATCACACTTTTAGTAAATCCTACATTTTTGTAGATTAAAAATACTATCTACATATATGAACTAGAAAGTTTATGTGTTGGAGGACTGTGAATTTTGCAATATGTACTCATATGTATTTTACATTTTTCAGCTGTTATTTTCATGATTACTTGCTTGTTAAATAAATCTTTTAAAGAAGAAAAAGATTCCTTTTTAAGCTTTTAAGTCAAAATTCTGAAGGGTATCCAGGAAGAAAGAACTGAATGAATATAAAGCAAAGTACAAAATCTTCTGTGACCACAATTAAATTCCTTGTCAGATGTGTATAAAACAAAATCCATCTCTCATAGGGAGTTTGTAAAAACAGAAACACTGTGAAGGCACTCAGATATTTCTCCATGGAATCTGACTGGAGTGCAAATGGGATACTCATTTATCCCCCTGGAGTATTTGTTTCAGAATAGATTAAAATTGAACAAAATGTGACCCATCAAATTCAAATTTTCATTTGTTCTCAGGTGAACATACAAAACAGTGTTTGCATAAATAGCACCTGTATTTTTGCTATAGAACCACTGTGGTGTAGTGAATAGACTGATGTACTGGAACTCAGGAAACCTAGGTTCAAATCTCAGCTTATTGGAGTGGGATGGGGGTAACCCTGGTAAAATCATTCCTTCAATATCTCACCTTGAGAACCATTCACAGAAAGAGAAAGACTTTATTGCTATACCCAATAGCAACTAAATATAATTGTCAGTATTTTAGAACTGTGTATTGATGTAACATAAATTTTTTGTTTTATTGTTAGATCTGGGCTGCTAGCCTTAGGAAAGCCTTTAGACAGAGAAAGCACTGACCGCTACATTTTGATTGTTACAGCCTCTGATGGCCGACTTGATGGGGTAAGTTTCTTGTGGAAATCTTAGTGTATTCAATTCGGGGGGGGGGTAAGAGCAGTTCCTCCTATAACATATTTAATAGAAGTATTCCCTTCATCTGTTTACAACCTACAATAATTTTTCCTTTATGTCACAAGACTTTGTGCAGATGCCTACATTGTAGTAAAGCTAAAGCTAAATTTAGTCCAGTCATGTCCGACTCTAGGGCGCGGTGTTCATGCCCGTCTCCAAGCCGTAGAGCCAGCATTTGTCCGTAGACAGTTTCTGTGGTCACGTGGCCAGCATGACTAGACACAGAAGGCTGTTGTCTTCCCATTGGATCTACTTGCATTTTTACATGCTTTCGAACTGCTAGGTTGGCAGGAGCTGGGACAAGTGATGGGAGCTCACTCCGTTGCATGGATTCGATCTTACGGCTGTTGGTCTTCTGACCTTTGCAGCACAGAGGCTTCTGCGGTTTAACTGCAGCACCACCATGTGCCTTAGATTGTAGTACTTTGTGTCAAATCTTGTGACATACCAGTGTCCTAGTATGGCCAGTACAGAGAATATACACTGTGAGGGACATCCTAGGAGAGCATTGTATAACTGTTCCAACTCACTGAGACCAGGTCAATGCTCATTCACTTTAACATCATTTCTGTGTGAGGATTTTGAACATCCTTCCCTGCACTGTGTGGAATCTTATTTATTTATTTATTTATTTATTTGTTTGTTTGTTTGTTTGTTTGTTTGTTTGTTTATTCATACATACATACATACATACATACATACATACATACATACATACATACATACATACATACACACACCGCCTATCTAGTCGAACGACCACTCTAGGCATCGTTCAACTAGATATCCTGAGTCGCTTGTACTAGCCTGTATAAATCCTTCTCCAGAAACTCTATTGAGAACTTGCACATGTTAAATATGAAGTTGCTTCATTTTTCCCCTCTTTCTGACACTAGGGAAATCATTTTGAACTGTTTTGTGACAAACCTAAAGGAAAACCATATCAAATGTTTTCATCCACTTAGTAGGATGTAAAGCATATGCTTATAAATTAGTTTAGTTTCTGAAACAGGAGAAGGCTTTGTTTTATTATTCCTTGATATTTCTTATCAGTAGCCATAGAATACAGTCAGATTACTGGTGACAAGAAGGTGATATTTTCTATTACTTTGGGGGAATCTTTCATTTATTCCTCAATATTACATCTCCCTTAAATGTTGTCAGTTTATCCTCTGGATCATGGCAGTCCCATTTTAGCCTTTAAATGGAGTCTATAACTTCAATCACCAGAGTAAATGAATAAAAATAGAGTTGTTGCTTATAATATCAGGTTTCAGTAGCTTTATAGTGCTAAAATGAAATAACTGAAACATTTATAGATGATGAGTTGCCATCACTTTTGCTTTCGGTATTTTTGATAAATCAACAACATACTTTTCAATAGACTTCATGTGCCTGGTTCATTTACAAGAATGCATAAAGAGGGGTTATCAGACGGAAATATTTGTTATGTATTACAGGGCCATGCCACTAGAAATGGCCACCCCAATTCTCTTCAATATCTAGGAATATCACCTAGCCACACCTGATATAGCATGGTGGGTATATGGAGATTTAAAGTGTAACCATGCCAATTTATACATTGTGTATACCAAGTCTTTGTAAGGTAAATGAATAAAACAAGCATGGGACCGAAACAGGCATCTTGTCTTTCTAATGCCTTTATCAGTCCTTCATAGCCACCCCAACAACAAATGAACTTTCTTTATTTTATTTATTCCATTTATACCCCGCCTATCTGTTCATCGCGAACACTCTAGGCGGCTTTGAAGTAGGAGGGCTTGTTCATGGGGACATGGGCACCACTTTATCTACACTTGATTCCTAGCAGCTGTATGTTTGTCTAGGAAATAGCAGGGAACCTTTTCCATTGTGTTAGAGCTGTGATGAGTGTTAGGAGAACAAGCAGCAATAAGAAGCAGCTAAGTTAACTAGAGGATTTAGCCCCTGAAAATTGGGATGATTAGCAGAGAACATTTCCCCCTTTGGAAAGAAATCACAGCCACACTGTGTTCTAGGAAAATAAGAAAGCTGAAGAATTGAGACAGCAAAAATAATAGGAATCCAAGTTCTAGCTAAGTAAAGGTAGAGAGCTGTTGTCACTTTTGAAAACTCCCGGAGAAAGTTCAAAAGGACAAATCGAAGGAAGGAAAATGACATCAGTATCCCTAAGACTATCAGTCGAATTGAAGGAAGGTCAGACTGGGTACAAGATGATCTAGGAAATCCAAGGAAGTCTTTTTTTTTATTTACCTGCTCTTCCCTGTGCAAAGAAATGCTTCTTCTTCAGTGTAAGGTGAGTTGCATGTAGCCCCCAGTAACAATGAAGACCATCAAAAAATCCACTTGGTGTACTATTATTAGATCACAATACATGGTTGTCTGCACATATGAATGAATGAAGTCTGATAACCCCTCCTTGGTTACAATTACTAAATTCTTTTGTCTGACATTTCAAAATTTATTTGTGAAATGTTCTTTAACTAATGATTCTTAAATCCAGACTCAGGATCTTAATCCTCCCACCCCTTGTCATCAAGCCTCTTGTGCGCGCCTACTGCAAAGTATTTTTCTTTAGGATAAGATATTGATATGATAGAGCTGGAATAACACAGGACTGTGGATTTTATTGGCAAAAGTAGAGATGAATGTATTAACATAAAAGTAAATTTCAAAATCCATGCTGAGATGATATCTTTATTAAGCCAACCAAAAAGGTGCAAACAATTTCCAAAATACTATCTTTTCATTTAGGAAGATATTGGGGCAGAGGAGAGATAGAAGGGAGAGGTGAGTTTCCTTTTGGCATCTTCCCTTTGCACCTACATAGGATGGATGCAGGTTTGATTTCACAGTGGGAATTGACACTGTTTTAAATGGAGAAAATGTATACTTTTCACTTTTTAGAGAGTCTATGGGTTAGCTTGGATGAAATCTAACAAACTGCTGCTCAGACCCATTTCTTTGTCTGCAGCATCCATTCTCCATTATATGCTGAAACAGTATCTGGACTACACATAGATTTTTTTGGAATTTGTGGACTACAGCCCCAGATTTCTGCAGAAGTTTTTCCCAGCCAGACGTGCGGCATTTAATCAAGAAATCAAAGTCCTGCCAGGCATTTTCAAGTTCTGAAGCTAATGAATTCAGACTGACCACCATATTTATCTATTGGAGATCATAGGGGAGATGGGGTGAAGCCAAGGTAGAAGGCATTATGGATCTGGAAGTTTTTTGAGAGGCTTTCTGTGCATAGCCTAATGAACAGTGACTACTACACCCATAGCACTTTGCAATTCACATAGAGTTTAGCTCTACTCACCCATTTCCCCTTCCAGAGTCTAAATTCATTACCTTCAAAATTTGAAGATAATGAATTTCAGGACTTTAAGTTCTTGATTAATGCTTGAAGAAGACAGCCTGAGGGAATTCCTGCAGACTTCAGGGGGTGTCATCATGAATTCTGAACATTAACATGCCTAATGCAGATACCAAGGACTTGAGAGTCAGATTTCACTGCTATCACTCTCATTTCTTCTCCCCTTACTTTTATTGTCTTGTCTGATAAAGAGGCATTATTCTTGAAAACTTGCATTTTGACTTTATGGGAGTCTTAGTAAGGGAATCACCTCAGTGCGGCTTTTAGATGTTATTGAGAAAGACATGAAAAGTAGAGTGGATTCAAACCTACTACTATTTATTGAATTTACTTTAAATGCCATTGTAGACTTTGCATGTTTATTTGATGATTTCATGAGCAAGCACTACTCTGTGAAAGAAAACATTACGCCAAAAAGACAGCAGTAAATATGCCATACCTGTTGTCTTATACTGTACCTGATTTACAAATTTCCCCAGAATGATATCTCGCCTGAAGCACAACTTTCTATATATTAGAAAGTTTAGTTCTTATACCCTTTTAGTTTCATTTTAGTTCTTCTACCTTTATTTAGTTTCAAACAAAATGTTTTGTGAGTAGAAAAAAGCATAATTCATAGGACTTGCATTTATTGGGACATCAGCAAGAATGTAATGAGCTGCAGAATGAGAATTCCTCCTTCACTTGCTTAGCAAACTGCCACTGTAGCTATACCTTTTTGGTGGAAAGGTCACATTTGCATCTTTGTTTCTAATTACCGCACTCTATTTTGAGCCTCTGACTCTAATATGTAAAGTAGAAAGGAATACATAGAGTTTTTCTTTAGTAAGATGTGGGTTTCAAAGGTACATCTCACAGTTCAGAATCTTCTCTTTCTGGCAGTGCATTGTTTTCTGGCTCTTAATGAACATCTTACTCTGTTTATGAGTTCCATTCTCCATCTGAATACATACGTAGATGGAAATGAACAAGACGGTTGATAAAATACAATGACACTGTCTAATTATGCACAACTAACAGTAGCTAGATTCTAGAAGGGAATCCATACTTCCACCCTTCTCAAAAGGTGCACTGCATAAATTCAGTGGTATCCTAATGAACATTGGGATGGAAACAGAGATATAGTGTCAAACATAAAAGAGGAAGTGGGCTTATGCAGAAGGATCTCCCCTGACTGATAAGAATGTGATTCAGGTAGAAAATTTGATGTAGAAGACATTAGTGTTGTTGATCCACAGCTACAAGCTTGGTTCCACTGATGATAAGAATCATGGTTGAATGGGGCGTGCCTTTTTAAAAAAATGTTTTAAATAAAGAGTATGTTAGCGACAAATTGCGGAAATCCAGTAGAATCAGCAGAGTAATGTCCAGTCCATGCGGTCCAAATAAATTGCACACACAGGCAGATTCTCCGAACAATTTACAGGATAGCTTGTTGTGGGTTTTTCGGGCTCTTTGGCTGTGTTCTGAAGGTTGTTCTTCCTAACGTTTCGCCAGTCTCTGTGGCCGGCATCTTCAGAGGACAGCACTCTGTGCTCTTTTGTAGTTGGCA